CAACATTGGTCCCCATACAGGGATCAGATAAGGCGCCAATGGTTTTGTGGAGGGAGCCCCTCCTCAATAATTGGGGGGAACCTGCCCCATTATTAACCATAGGGTGAGGATTCGCTTGTGTGTTTCCACAGGATGCAGAATAACCCATCTGGGCACACTCCAGAAATGTCAAATCCCACACCACTGGTGACGGAGATAAAAAGTCTGCGATTGGAAGAGGGTCCATGACGTAAGCGTAACATACCCCAAAAACCTAAAAAGATGACCCCTGTTGCATGGGGTGCTCTCAAGGCCCTCTGTAACCAAGCACTGGACATGGCTCCACCTGGAACACCCAAACCCATCTCTGGACCCATGATGGTAGTACTCCTTTGTGCAGCATTGACAACAAATTCAGCAAGGCTGGACAACAACCTACCTCAGACATGCAATAAGAAAGATTTTAAAATTTCCACCCTTATTGCTGTCATCATTTCCATGGTGGCAGCTATTTCTGCCACAACAACGGCAACAGTCACCTCACAAAATCAAGTGGCAGCAGCAGCAATGGTCAACCAGCTAACAAAAAACAACACCCAAGGCTTCAAAAAGACCGCCCTGCTATTTCAAGATGTCCACACAGCCATACTCAATTTACAAATCCAATTAAACTTGGTTTGGGAGGAATTAATATCCAAGCATTAGATGCTGTAACTTGAAATAATGTGTGGGATACCATTTGGCCAAAAATTCAGGCTGGATGGAATAATTTGAGTAGTTGAATATGTGGGTTGATATTGGGATCCCCATATATATTAATCTTGTTTGGCATATTGTTATTGTTCTTTATTTCAAAGATCAGACGTGCCAGTAAAAATCATAAAAATGTGGTCCTTTTGCCTGAGGCTCTGGAGTCAAAGACAAAAGGGGGAACTGAGGATCAGGTTCATATCTGGCTGAGTCAGGAGGGCTGAACCCATCTCTCCTGAGAAAACTCCGAGGCCTATTAGGGCTAGGATAACCCACCCCTTTGGGTGTGTAGAGATCTGACCTTAGACAGATAAACTGTTCCTCTCAAAAACCTCTAAAGTCCGTTTGCCTCAGCCCGTAAAACATACAATCCAAAAATGGACATGTGGCCAATAATGATGTGCCAAATATCCTGACTCCACCCTGGCTCCACCCCCATCTTACCCTACATAAATCTGTACATTTCCTCAATAAAATGGAACATTCCAGAGACCTCCCCAGAGACTGCATGGTGATTCCACACCTTGCCCTCCCAGTCCAGGTTCCTGAACCTTGTTCTGCAAGTGGGCTCGTGGATGAAAACGACATACTACCATGCCCAGCTAAATAATTTTTAATCTAAGAATATTTCATGATGAGAAAATAGGCAAAGCACTGAAATATTTACAATTATTTCAAGGAGTGATTGTTTTTTTTTTTTTTTTTTTTTTTTTTTTTTTTTGTACCAGGGATTGAACTTGGGACCTTGTCCTTGCGAGACAGGCAACAGAACCACTGAGCTAAATCCCCAGCCCTCGAGGAGTGATATTATTAAAAATTTTATTTCCTTCTGTATACTTTCCTAAATTTTCCACATTTCTAAAATGATGAGAGAAAAATAATTGCTGAAAATATTCAAACCATAATGGAAAAATATGGAAGAAATACACCTGAATGTTATTTTAGTTTTTAAAGAAGATAGCAGGACATAAAGTAGCATGTGGAAACAAACTCTTATGAGTAACAGAAAAGCTGACTAGAGTTCTCTTGTGGGGCTATTTTTCCACACCTCACATTATAGAATCTCTACTTGCATCCCTGCACCAAACAAACCATCCTATCCATGGATTCTGCACCCATAGAGTCAACCGATCTTGGCTGAGAAAGTTTTAAAAAATACAACTGTACTGAACATGTACAGACCTTTTTCCTTGCCTTATTCCCCCAATAATAAAAGCTATTTACACAGTGTTGACATTGTGTTAGGTATTACAAATAAAGGGTTTAAAGCACATGGGAGGACTGTGTAGATTCGATATAAATATTATGGTGTTTTTTAGAAAGGACTTGAGCACCTGCAGATTGTGGTATACACAGGAACCCTGCAGCCGGCCCTGGTACTGACTAGTTGTTGGCCTAACAGGATCTGAGCCTGAGCTCTGAGGAGACAGACTGTGGCCCAGGTATGATGTGAAGGGTTTCTTGCTTTTCTGTAAATGTCTCATTTGAAATCTTGGAGATAGAAATAGTTGACACCAAAACTGAGAAGTGATAGCTAATGAGAAGGCAGATTTACATAATCTATCAATCTAATGAAAGGGCCTTCTTTGTCCAAAGGGATTTTTCTGTCTGTAGAGAACAGAGCCATGGGTACCAGCTGAGGGCAGGATGGACTAAACTCCAATTCCAAATCTAATATGCTACCTAAGACTTTATAGAAAGTCAAAAACAAATGAAACAGAAGCTATTGAAGAGCTCTTGTTTGCTTGTTTTATAATACAGGACATTTCTTTTCAAATAAGTTGTCCTTCAATAAAACTTTGGAAGCACTGAAGTTTCCACTTAAGCCAAATCAGTGAGTGGTTAAGGCAGGTGTACTGATCAGGACGCCCCATCCTGGCACAATACTACACAGGGAACGGAGCCCCCATCTTAAGTCTTCTGGTTTTCCAGGATGTCAGATGCTAGCATTTAGGCTGCCATCCCGGTCAGCAGTGGAAACCTTTGCTGAGGGTTTTAGCACTAGAGCAGAGAGCTGAAGCTGGCCTGAGGGACTAGATAGTTCATTCCTCCTTTTACCTCAAAGAAAGGCATTTCAGAGAAGCAGGAGCCTTGGGCATAAAGACCTAGGACAGGGCTGGCGAACTTTTTAGGAGAGCCCAAACTGCAACCCCAACCCCATTTATTTGTCACGAAGTGCCATCCTTCAATTAAACCTGAATACTGAGGTTTTAGTTTAGAAAAAAACTCATACATTGAAATCTTTTATCTTAAAAGGACACATGTAGCCAAGTGTGGTGGCACACGCCTGTAATCCCAGCACTCCGGAGGCTGAGGCAGGAGGATTGCTGCGAGTTCAAGACCAGCCTGGGTTACACAGTGAGTTCCAGAGCAGTCTGAACTACATAGTGAGACCCTGTCTCAAAAACAAACAAAAAAGAACTCACGTGCCATAGGTTTCCCACCAGTGACCTAGGATCTCTTGCCTTCTGCCTCAGGATGCTGCAAATGCTTCCTTCCTGCAGGTCTGTTACATGAAGGATGGATGCTCCCATGGATGTTCCCTCTGGTCGCAGATAATGTTGACTGGAGCTGGCAGTGAGAACTCAGTGATGGTGAACCCTAGGCCACTTAAGCATCCCCGTGCCCATAAATATCAGGCTGCAAGCAGGAAAGCACATGGGGCCGTGGCAGGAGGGCAGCAAAAGCTTCTCTCTAAATACAGGCCTGAGCACCTACTTTCTTCGCTCTCCCATTACCTGGGAAGATTCCAAAGGAACATGAACTGTAGTGGGTTGACTACTGGGCACCTTGTAACGCCCAGCTGAACTGAATCAGCGTGGTCTGGGTGTGGAGGATCCACCTGAAGACTATTATACCAATAGCCATGAAAAGAGAACTGGGGAGGAAGGTCTCGGCCTGTTGATTTTCTAGGAGAAGCTTGCTGCGGATGGTTTTCCTGATGCGAACTAGGCTGTTCTCATCAGAGCAGGAGCTCGGGACCTCACTATCTCTGGAAATGGCTGCTGCTGTCATCAGGGTTGCTCTGACCTTTACTGTGAGCATCACTTCCTGGCTCCAATGTGGATCCCTCAGCTTGGTGGCACAGATCCTTCATTTCATGAGCATAGATTTTCTGGCTTCCACCACTGGCCTTTGGGCCTTCTGGGTGCAGATCCTCAATACGGACAAGCAGAAGACACTGCCGTGGGCTCTAGGTCACTGGCTGGACTCAAGGAGGACATTGCCTTGGACTCTAGGCCTTTAGCTGGACTTGTGTGGGAAACTGCTGGGATCCAGGCCCTCAAATGGAATGTTTTGGGCTTCTGGTGCATGGTTAATCTCTTGCACTCCTTGCATTTGGCTTTTTGAGTAATTATCATAAATAACCTTCTAAGTTATGTGTCCTGTATTTAATGTATTCCCTTGCCCAATCCTGGTGACTACAACCTGGACCAAACCTCACATCTTAGATCTTCACACACCAGGCTTCTCTCCACATGAGATTTCTAACTTTTGCATCCATATTTTTTCTAACATTTTATTTTAATCGGTATATGTTTGCAGTGAATAGTGACATTCCTTGTAGAGAGTTGGTACGTGTATGCAACATATTTTAATTCTTTTTTCTATCCCCTTCTCTTCTCCCCTTCCTGCTCCATCTCTTGCTTCCACTTTTATTTTAAATTAAACATAGCAAGAAAACAAGAAAACTTGAATGATTGATACTTGATAATTAAACATGAGACCCAACACAGCCCCAGGTCCCTGGATGAAATGGAGTTTTGCAGGATTTGCAATTCAGAGGGTGAAGTGTGGGTTGTTTCAAAGGAGCTTAGAAAACTCTCCCAGTAATTTGTCCTGTCAAGCAGTCTTTTCAGCAATTCAAATCATTATTATTTTGTCCTTTCTAAACATACAACCCCTCATTTAACTATGGGAGTCAATGTTTTCCCAGCGGGTCAGAACAAAAAGGAGCTGCCACAGGTAAAAGGCCAGATAGCTGAGTTCCTCCTCTGCACCTGGCCGACTCCCCTCCATCTTCAAAACCTTGCAGAGTCCACATCTTGCAGGGGTGACTCACCCACCCAGACTCAGGGGTAGAGGAGGTGACTTGGTAGGTGACTACCGTGTCCCCACTAGACAGCAGCAGCATGGTGTCCTGCCATCCCTGAAGCCGTGACTGACTCCTGCCTAGCTCAGAGGAGTGCTTAGCAAATAATGGCACAAACAATGAATGGAGACCTTTATACCTCATCAGATGCTGTGGTTGGGACATGGAGTCCCCCAGAGGTTCATGTGGGGAACACTTGGTCCCTGGTGTGGCTGTATCGAGAGGTGGAGGACCCTTCAAGAGGTGGGACCTAGTAGAGGTGAGACCTGGTAGAATTGAGGCCTTGTGGAGTGGGACTTAGCAGAGGTGGGAATCAACAGGAGGTAATTAGGTCATGGGGTGCTACCCAAGGGAGGAAGTAATGCTGGTCTCCTAGAGTGAGTGAGTTCTCTCGAGAACAGGTTGTTATGAGAGTATAAGCTGGGTTATGAAGCTCTCTGCCTTCCTGTTCCACCATTTTATCATTCCTCATGCCATGTTGTCATCTGCTGCAAAGTGACATAGCAAAGAGCAAAATACATGGGTCTGTCTCATCTTGGCCTTTCAGCTGCTAACTTTGTGGGTTACATAAATCTCTTTTCTTCATTAAGTACCCAGCCTCAGGTACTTTGTTATAGCAATGGAAAACAATACAGAAGGTCTTGAAGGAGCTTTGCTGTTTCCCCAACTGCATTATCCAAGGGGTTCCTTTCAACAAAGACTGAAGAGTCAGGCAAAGAAACTGGCGCAAAGACCTTTCCCATTACTGAATGCCTCCCTCTGTGTCAGGGCAGGAAAGAGTACCTTTGTCTGGGACAGCCACTACACCCTGTGTGGCCACACAAGTACCCCATACACATGTGTCCTCACCGACCTCAGAAAAAGACCCATAATCTTCCACGCTGCCCCTCGACACAGGTACTGAGTCAGTAGGGTCAACTAGGCCAGGCAGCATTTCAAGTGCAATGTGCTCACCTCCCTTCAGGATCAAACCTGTAGTCTTGAGTGTGGGGCAGAAATTTTCAGCTGTGTTGAATTAGAGCTGATATTAAATTGCTGTCCTGCTTTCCTGATCCTGGGAACATGATTTAAGACAGAAAGTAGCTTTTCTTTATTGAGCAGGATTTTCCCATTAAGATGACCTTCTGAAAACGCTTATCTGTGAAAGTGTGCGCTAAGATCCAAGAATGCGTCCAGCTGCTGGCTGAAGCAGACACCAAAACCACACACATCCATGGAAACAGTTGCAGGCTCTGAGGGCCTTTAGGGACTGCTCCCCCTGCCCTTTTAACTCATAAACAAGACTAGGTTCTTGCATCTAATATCTGAAAAATATTGAAATTTTAAAATGTTAAACTGGAGCTCATATTCAAAGGGTAGAGAAAATACGCTGCCATAATGGCTGTGTTGATAAGAGCAAGTATCTGGTAACACTATCTATATGGAGATATATATGGAGAGCGAGGAGGAAATGGTATTTATTACTTCTCTTCTGAATGGGAAAGTGTTGACGTTAAACTGCTAGGTGAGTGGGTCCTGCTGCCACTGCCAGCTATGCACATGTCCTCGCAGAACCTGTGCGCACTCCCCCATTGGTGGGGACTCGCCACAAACTAGCAGACAGGCTACGCTGTGGATTAGGTCACCAGCTCGGGTGCATAATGACTTCTTAAACTGTTGTCCGTCCTTCTAGAGAAGCAGCAGCATGCTGTCCATGGCAGAACCAAGCGATAAAACAAGGAAAACCTTTAACAGCAGCGGCGAGTGTGCTGGGAAATGACAAGCCCCTTCTAGGTCTGTGTTCATGAGGGAAACACGCTGTCCTGCACCTTCTTCCATAAGTGCATGGAGCGGGGGAAACGCAGGTCAGTACCCTTCACTCCCACCTGAAACCCAAGTCCTGTCCTCTCTGCTGCAGCCCCACTCTGCCATCCAGGTCCCTGTATCCCTCAGCCTACAGCTGCCAATCCATGCAAACACCTCAGTCCAGCTGGACTCCGTGGCACACACCTGTGATCCCAGTATTCTAGGAGGCTGAAGCAGGAGAACTGCAGTTTCCACCCCAGCCTGGGAAATTTAGTGAGTTACCAAGACTGGCTTGAAATAGAAACTAAAAAGGGCCAGGGAATTGACTCAGTGTAAGACCTGGGTTCAAGTCCAAGTTGAAAACAAAAACACACATACACCTCATTCCTGAAGTGGAAGCCATAGGCCACATGACAAAGGACAGGTGACAGAAAGTCTTCCCGGATGGCAAGCCTTTACAGAGTGCCCAGCCAAAGTATTATTAAAGATTTGAAAAGCCTTGAAAATAAAAAAGCTGCACTGCTCATATCCATACCTACAAACCAAAAATGGAATTTGAGCCTCAAGATGTTTGCTCCTTTATGCGGTCTTCCCTCTCCTGTACCTTGAGGTAAACCAGATGTGACTGCCACAGTCGAGGAACTTAGCTGATGCATTAAAGCATTTCCTCACTTCAGTATTCAAATTGCAGCCTGGAGTATGTTCCTTTGGGCTGTTTTCCAGAATATCTGCTTGGCAAATACATTCCAGGAGTGCTTTATGGTTTTTCTTTTCTTTAAGATGGCCTTCATAAAGAATATTTCCCTCAGATAAACGCTTCTCCATAACACAAAGAGTATCTTTCACATCTATGTGAAACTGACTTTATGACAAGCACTTCTCTTTCTGTAGAAGCCCTGGGTGCTGCGGTCACTATGTCAATGCCAGGGAACAGAGAGGCACAAATTGAGACACCACGAATACATCCTCGCTACTCTGAATAACACGAGTATTCATCCAAATGCCTAAATTATATGGTCACACCCCACTTAAGTGGAAATTTCTTTTAAAAGCATCCAGATGTCTTGTGTGGTAAAGAAAACATCTGAAACATTCAGACCTCTTGACTACAGAGCAAGCAGCAAACTGTTTCAAGTATCTACATGCTTATTTCAAAGAAGGCACTGAGGAGCGGGTTCTAAACTCAACTACTTAAGAGACCCCCCCAAAAGGGCCATAGAGGACAAAACTGCCCAATGGCTTATCTTTGTTAACTGGCCTGTGGTTTCTGGTTTACCTAAAGGGCAGTCTTTGAAAACTGCCTTTGATGCCACGTGACTGTTCACAGTGACCCACTTTGCTCCCCATTAGCCCACAGCGAAGGACGTCAGTGCTGAGCAAGGACAGAGTCCACGAGAACCTTCTGGGAAAAGCTGCTGGTAACTGAGATCCATGATGCCAGCTGGTCCCTAAATAATCTCCACTCAGCAAAGCAGCCAGACTCTGGGGACAGTGACGGCAAGCAACCTACAGCCTTAGTATAAGAAAACAGAAAAGGTGTCTGCAAAATGTAGGTATTAAAGTGAATTCCAAGGAAATCTGAAAATGAAGGATCTATCTGACCAGTGAGGATTGTGGCATGGTGAGGACAGGCGGTGGGGTAGGTAGTGAAGTGGCCTTCATGCAGGATAATAATAATTATAACCTGCCTATTATAATAAAAAATGGGTGACTTTTACCCCCACCCCATTTAAGAGGAAAGGGATCAGTTAACTGAAAAATGATGATGAACCTGTAGTTATTTTGGAATTCTTCAATGCAAGTTGTGTTGGTGTCATGAATGGAAAAACGAATTTGCATATTGCCTTTGGAAACCTATTTGGCCATAACCAACAAAATTAACACATACCCTTTGAGAAAGAAAGAAAGAAAGACAGACAGACAGACCTATGCTTGGTGATTTCTCTCAAGAGAATGTGGTCTTTGAGATGCATTGCTAAAAAAGTACCCAACCACCGCAGAGAGGAATCATGAGAACAGAATCAAATGCCAAAGCACTGATCCCTGCACTCTAGGAAGCTGAGGCTGGAGGTTCACAAGCTTACGCCCAGCCTGACTTAGCAAGACCCTGTTTCACAATGTAAACCGTAAAAAAATCTCCAGGAGAGATGTAGCTCAATGTAAGGGCCCTGGGTTCGGTCCCCAATAACACACACACACACACACACACACACACACACACACACCCCAAACACTACTTATGTTCATTTTATATTTAAAAAGCTGAACTTCTAAGTATTGGCCGTAAAGTACATATCTATGAGATAATGAGAATTACTGTGCTGTATTTAAATGCCGATGCTGAATCCTGCTTCTGGGCTTCACACTTCCGAGCAAGCTCATTCTTCCCATGCTGTAGAGCCATGGGCACCTGTGACTTGAGGGCAAGAGATGGGCACTTGCTCCCTCCTCCATGCCGCATCCCCCAGGGGAAGCAGGGCAAAGGGCTGCTCTTTCTCACACTGTTTCTTAAGCTTGTTGACCTCGGGCTCCTAATTGTGTCAGAGAAAAGACATCTGCTCTGCTATAATCAGCACCTCTGGTAAGTACACCAGTGGGATGGTGGCCAGCAAAGCAAAATCACCTGTGTAGATGGAGCGGGAAGGCATAAAATCATTACACACTGAAACAGGAGGGTGGCGTACCCTGGCAGAGGTAAGAGAGCTCCACACAGGATTTCCATAGACCTGCATCGAGGCCTTCTGCCTGCTCCCGGCTAGGATGGGTAATGGTGGCCCACAGCCGGCTTACAGGTTTTTAACCATCCTAGCTCTCAAGAAGTATGAGAATCACATAGAACCTGACTATACTGAGGGGGTAGAACGTTAGCGCATTTCCAGGAACATGAAACCCTCAATTAAATGTCAGTTACTGAGGTCCACGCTAGTTGGCAAAGGCCATGTTGCAAACGCCACACATCCTTGCCGTGTGGTAGCTCTCAGGCTCTCACTCCTTCCGTCTTCCCCAGTGAATGAAATGAAATTCCCCAGGTGGGCGAGTTCCTCAGAGCCGAACCTTGCTCCCTCAGAAGCAATGAGCTGCCTTTAATTAGTGGAAGAAGTGCTGCCTGAGGGCTTCCATGTTTTCCAAAGTAGGGGAAATCAGCACAGCGGAGCCCCTTCCTTCCAGGACAGGTGAAGGAGTCTGGCCAGCCCAGCCGGGACAGTAATTAACTGAGAGGCCCAACAGGATCTGGACCACCAAGTGTGGGAGAAACTTCCCTTATCTATTTGTTCCCTCTATCGAGACTAGGGCCTGGCCAGGAGCAGGAGCTCCTCTTATCTGAGTTGTTTCTAGGCTTATTTATGCCAGTTGTACTTAAATTCCTAGTTATACAACTTTAAATAAATATTATACAACACAATGAAATGTCAGTATAGAAAGAAAGTGCTTATCTCTATAAAGAATGTTGAAACTTGGGAAAGACTCAGTAATATTTGAAAGAGGGAGGGGAGACTAAGCATTGCTTTGTGATGCTCACAAAATGTCCTGTCCGTGTTAAAGACACCAAAACTAGGGATTGTGGAAAATGCATTATGAGCAGCAAGCCAACCAGCACACACACGCAAACTGTACTGAATGATTAGCAAATGTGTTTCCACTTTAAAAATGAATAAAAAGTCCTTAGCATTGGTGGTTCAGTGGTAGAATTCTCGTCTGCCATGCAGGAGGCCCAGGTTTGATTCCTGGCCAATGCACAAAAATGAATAAAAGAAGAAAGTTCAGAATGCCCTTGTATCATCTTTTGACTCTGCCTCTGGCTTTTTAATTAACCAGCCCATGGCCAGTCCTGGTTGCATCTCCATGGCTTCTCCCACTTTACTCCTGGTAAGACTGCTAGGTCTGCAGCTCTTTGCATGGGGAAGTGCAGGCTTCCTCAACCTGTATTTTCTGCCTTCTCCCCAGAGACATTAAACCACAAGAGCAAGACGAGCTGACAGGGCAGTGAACATGTCCCCTGCTCAGCTCACAAACTCAGAAGTAGCTACCAAGAGATTCTGCAGGGCATAACCTGCTCCATGGACAGCCAGCAGGCAACAGAGAAAACATGTGATCCATACCTTCCACAACTACAGAGGATGCACTCTGTCTACCAGAGATGTTTCTAGGAGATACAGGTTTAAGATGCCAACGACATGCATCTTCACCATGAATCGCCTCATCAAACATAACAGTAAAAAGAGGGGAGGACACCTAACTTGGGGCTCAGAGCATGACGCTCAAACAGTGTGCACTTTGGTGTGCTGAGTACTTGGAGTGAGGCCATGGGAGCAGGACCTCGGGACCTTCTCTTGCCCTTCTGTCTCCACCCTCCTTCTGCCAAAGCTGGAGTCACAGAAGCAGAGTTCTCAAGACAAGTCCTAGAAACTCGAACCCTTCACCCTTCATGCAAGCCATAAAAACTGTAAAGGCCACTCCCTTCTCCTTTGAAGACCCTTAATCCAGAAGGACACTGCCACCTACAGGGGCAGGGAAGGAGGGTGCTCAAGAAGAATTCAGACAGACAACCCTCCTGGGTCACCCACACTCTCATACCCAAGGTCAAATCCCTTTTATCCAAACACATTTCTGAAGGGCTGCCCACTCTACAAGCTTCATAATAAAATCAGAGTTTTCTCTTAGTCTTTGGGTCATTTCTGAAGGCCTGCCCATCACATGAAACCCGGATTAAACAAATTCATGACGCTTTTCCCTTGTTGACCTGTCTTTTTTTGATTGAAGTGTTGCCCACAATGCTAAAGGTGAGTGAGGAAAAATATCGTGTTGTGCTGCCCCTAAACCCACCACAAATTCTGGAGACCTAAATCTGGACAAGTAAAGCAAAAGCATCTTGTTGTGTCTTATTGCTAATTCCTTTCGTCGCTGACCTGTGCATGCTGCTAGGAGCCTGTGTGAGATGTTAGGGTTGCCAGCTCCCCTCTGGCCTCTCTCAGGCTCACTGGTGGCAGCTCCTGGCTGGAGAGGAAAGCAGCTGGAGTAGAAATGGGGCAGGGGTGAGATGGACCTGTGACTCTGCCTGGGGAACTCCACAGGAGGGCCTGTTATTCAGCAGAAAGAGGAAGCAGGACAGGCTGCAGACAGGAAAGAAGGAAGTGCGCAGGTATTCCAGCCAGAACAGCCAGCACAAAAGAGCTGCCCAACAGCATCCCAGCCTGGCTCACTAACTCTCAGCTCCTGTCTGGCCCCTGTGCAATTTCTGTAACATCTATAAACCAGGCCAACAGCAGCTGATTGTTTCCAGGGTCCTTGGAAAGACTGGGAGGAGAACTGTAATGCAACAAGAAGAAAAGGGCTCTTAATGATTTGAGGAAGTGCCTGCTAAAATTGGCCCTCACCACTGAGCTGGCTTCCTCCTGAACAAAGCCCTGAGTGAATTACTTCGCTTTAATGGGCTTAGCTGTAAAATGAAGGAACCATGCTGAGCAGCCTGGCAGGCCATGGGCTTGGGAAAGTGTTAAGTGAGAATCACCACCTTGGCCAGATAAGCACAGGAGAGGCTTGGAGAGCCCACCTCCCTGAGGAGCACTATAAGAAGTCAGCAATGTTTCATGGAGGATATGGGTCAAAAAGCAATTGGCTGCTTCAGGGCTTTATGCTTCAGTAGAGAAACCTGTGTGGGACAGCCAGACCCAGCAGGGCTTCCAAATCAAGAGGGATGGAGCCACAGACCAAATGGGCATTTCAGCCACAAGATAAACATACAATTCCCTGGATGTGCATGGCTCCTGGAAAAGAACCCGCATGAGATCAACACTTCTCTGTGCTTCAGTGGTATAAAACCCTGGGCTCTGACACAAGCAAGGCTTTCCCTTTCTTAGCCCTTTCTCTTCTTATATGCCTTCCACTAATTCACTATTCACTCATGTTTCTTGCTGAAGGAAGCAAAGTATATTATTACAAGGTGTTTTACTGATTCTGCGACTGCCAAAAGGAAAGATAAAAGTAAAAATGAACACTAATTAGGCTCCACCACACATGTAGACTGTGAGAATGGCTGAGTTGCTTGTCAGTAACCTTGTCTTTTGGTTTTGGTTTTGGTTTTTTAGCAGCAGAGAAAACGCAGCATGTAAGGGGCTTAAGTCAAATCTGAGCAGCGACCTGAGCCCAGGTGTCCTTCACTATGCTATGTCATCTTCAGAGTTCCAAGCCAAATGCAAGCAATTCAGCATCTACAGCCCTGACCAGAAGCAGGCAGTTTTAAAAATTGTAGTCCCTTTGATAAAGTTATTCACAAGAAAACCCACTCCATTTGGTATAAAGTTATGGATTTAGATATATGCACACAACCATAAGATATGGGATACTTTTACTACACCCCAACCAACTTCACCACAAGACACAGGGTATATACGCTACCAGCCTGGTAACTGCACCCAACAAGACAGGGTACATCTACTTCCTCCCAAGTTCCTTCCTGCCACTTGTTAAAACCAGCTCCTTCCCCTGTGTGGCAACACGTGATCTGCTTTCTACTTCCATAATTTTTCTTTTCCCAGAAAACATCTATCATCTTAAAATCCCTGGTATTCACAAATCCAAAAGAGGCTGCCCATCCTTGGAGATACTGTTCTAGGACCCCCAGGGGATGTGTGACACTGTAGATGGTACCAAACCATTATAGGATATAGACTGCTCTTTTCCCTGTACATATATACTTATAACAAATTTTAATTTATGAATTAGGCAAGTAAGATTAACAATAACTAAAAATAGAATAATTATAACAATATACTGCAATAAAAGTTTTGTTCTCTTCTCTCCTTTTTTTTTCTCTATATTTCTTATTGTCCTGTCAGTTTCCTTCCTTCTTTCTTTCTTTCTTTTGGTTTTTTGAGACAGGCTCATGCTGTTTAGTCCAGGCTGTCCTTGAACTTTGCCCAGACTGGCCTTGAACTCATGGTGATTCTCCTGCCTCAGCCTTCCAAGTGCTGGAATTACAGGCATGTGCTACTATGCCCAGCATTCTAACAATTTGAGCAATCTCAGCATAAGATGTTTCTTCTTTCCTTAAGTGCAAAACTAATCATTTAGGTAAAAGAATCATTTTATAGCTTCTCTTCAGCAAATCTGAATTGCAATCACTAATAGTCTTACGCTTTGGTGGCATACTAAGTAAAATGAGGATCACTTAAATATAGCATTGCAATATCATGACAATCGAACTGATACCTTGTGGCTCCTCAGCGACTAAGGAGTGGGTAGCATATACCTTGTAGATACACTGGAAAGGGGATGATTCACATTCCAGATGGGCCAGGACAGGAAACCACAAGATCTCATTATACTACTCAGAAAAACTTAGGAATTGTTCATCTATGGAATTTTCCATTTAGTATTTCCACATGACCATGGGCCACTAAAACTCCAGAAAGTGAAACTGCATACCAGGAACAATTGCAGTATAAAATCACAATTGGATCAGGGAACAGGAGAATGATCTTGAAAGCCAGCAAAAACTTTGATGTCCCCACTGGTGCACCTTCTCTAAAAAACAAATAACTGCACACCTTAGCAGTAAGTGGAGACAGACAGAAGGTCTCAAGAGGGCTGAAGCCTGGAGAAGGAGCCACTGCATGACTCCACTCTGTCACAGGAAACTCATGAGGTGATCCATGATAATTCTTCTTTTCACTCAGCCTCAATCTTAAACTGTAGACTTTTAGTAAATATAGCTGAGTTTTCCACACCAGGGAATAAAACTGCCAGGTACTTATAAATTGATGGATGAAGAACACCCCACTATACCTGGGAAAATCATCTCTGGAGAGCCTGGAGGATGAGGGACCAGTGGGGAGGAAGGGAAGGGGCTTAGGACATGCTATGCCAAAACAAGACATGCTGGTCCCAGAGGAAGCAGCCGAAGCAGGGATGTCTCCCTGACATCCTCTCTCTCCCCTGAAGCAAGACACAGGAATTCATGGACCTCACTCTGAAACACATCCTAAGATCTTCACATTTCAGGTGCCCTTTCTACAGCCCAAGGAACAGCCTCACTTCTGAAGACACAGGGACACAGAGAGGAATCCAGATGGCAGGGCTTGGCTTGGTCCCCACGGTTAGTACTACTGGATCATACCTCCTTAGTCCTTAGTTTTTATTTCCATGTGTGACTCTGGGTCCTCATTTCTGAAGGATCCTGTGTTATTTAAGACTTACAATAAATAAATCTGTATATTTTTTCTTTTGGCTTTTATTATATGTGCCGACTCAGCTGCAAACCTTTCAATGGGAGAGGGGCAGATACTGTATTTTCTCCCTGCAGGAGGAAAGGAGGCAGGAGACTCTAACAGAAGCCAGCTCAGTTGAATCAGTCCTGACTTCCAGCAGTGTCCCTGACCTGGGGACACATTCACTCCTGGCATGGTTCTCCTTTGTCCAGCACCAATCTTCTCCTAGGCTCTGATATAGTCTGGATATGGAATGTCCCCCAAAGGACATGTGTTAAAGGTGTGGTCCCAAGCTGTGGCACTACTGGGAAGAGACAGAATCTTTAAAAGGTAGGGCCTGGCGGGAGGTGATTAGGTCCTCACAGGGGATTTGTGGGACCCCAGACCTTTCCTCTTTCTCTCTTTGCTTCCCAGCCATGAGGTGAGCAGCCTTGTACTGAAATGTTTCTGCCATGATGTGCTACCACAGGTCCAAAGCAACCAAGCCAACTGATTGCAGACCGAAACCTCCAAAGCTACGATCCAATAAAACCTCTTCTTGTCACAAGTGATTATGTGCAGCATCTGTAACAATAATGGGAAGCTGACTGACACAAGCATGCATACAAGAAGCCAGTCCAATCTTCAAAGGTGCGGAAGGGCCAGTGATTAGCTCAGTGGCACTGGCCCTGCCTTGCAAGTACAAGGTCCTGATTTCGATCCCAGTATCAGAAAAAAAAAAAGTCAGGGATTTAACTCAGTGGTTCCGCTGCCTGCCTCACAAGCACAAGGACCCAAGTTCAATCCCCAGTACACAAAAAAAAGAAAACTTCAAAGATGTGGCCCTGGAGTCCACTCCCTTCCACACAGGCGCACATTCTCCATCCTTGGATGGTGCTTAGATGGATACTCTAGCTATCCACCAGCAGCTAGTGGCACGTTTTCAGCACCTCTACCCAGAGCACTCAAGGCCAATCTCAGGAGTGTGAAATCTGTCAGATCAAAATGGAGTTACTTGTGTCAAAAACCTCAATCCAAAATAAATAAAGCCCCAAGGTGACGGATGACCACACTGTCACAGCGGTCTGCACAAGCTGGGAACTCAGCTGAAGTTGAAGGTCAACCCTGAGGTGGCCGAGCCAAGCAGGCCCTGCAGCTGGCTCCCAGACTTTAATTTCCTCTTCACACACAGAGAACCCGCAGACAAGGAGCTCTGAAGCCTCAGATGAAGACAGGAGAAAAGTCCCCAGGGCCTTTTTCAGAAATGACTCTAGTTAGGGTGAGAAGGAGAAAGTAAGGGGGAGACAGGGGGAGCCCTCTCTTTTCATCAAGGTCACATTCCAGAGAAAAGAATTAAACACACCCACATTTTAATTTGTGCTACGTATACCTCAGGCAAATATTAAGGATTCTTTGGTTTTATAGACATTCTTTATCACTCATTATGATCTGGTTAGGGTATATACAACGAATGGGTATATACAAATTGTTGAATGTCTAATTCTAATAAATGATATCTTGTAATATAGACATTCTAAGTATATAACTAAGTATAATATGCAATAACATAACCTATACAATACCATGTATATGACATGTATAGTGTATGCCATATAATAGTTCTATATTAACTTGTACATTCTAACTCAGACCAATGAACTGGAATAAAACTAATATGCTAAAAGCTTTCTCTTTGCTCTTATATATTTTAAACATCTACCAAAATTGTGCACTATTTAGTAATCACTCAAAAATTATTCACCCTTAAATAATTGTGTGTGGTGTCATGGACAGCCCTCCCAATAATGACTAAAGCCTTGAGCACGTGGTCCCCAGTACGCTCAAAAGGGGATCCCAAGGCCATGTAGGAAGGACATACCTGCTTCCCTTCACCTCCAGTACAGGACGCACAGGTGATCAGAGGAAACTTCCATCCCTGGGACACCTGGAGAGGGCTCTTCCTCCTGTCTTCAGAAGAGGGCCTGGGAAGGACTCCTAGGGTGGCTTTCTGGGTGGCTACCCCTGTGTCATCCGCCTGCTGCTCATCTTCAATAGACAGGCTGCCCCCTGCCTCCTGGAGTTCCAGGCCCTGGACCAGCAGCCGACAAGACTCCAAGTCAGCTTCCCACACTCTTCCAAGCAGCGGGCACTTGCAGCTAAGACAAAGAACACAGAAACATCAAAATTAACTGAGTGAAGTCCTGTCCTACCAAGTCCCCAGCTTGTCCACCTGGATAAACGTCAACTGGTCGTCTTACACTCACAACGTAATTTCACATGGTGATGGAGAGGACTCAGGGGAGTCTGATGCCTCATGTCACTGAGAAGTGACAATCCTTCCCAGAGGCTGAACTTGCAAAGCCATCCTGAGCCCTCTGTGTCTCTCCACACAAAGCCACCCTAAAGCACAGCTTCTCCAGTCAGGGCCCCAGGGTACTGATGTCAAGAGGCACTTCCACAGGTATTGCTCCATGCCAACACTGTCACCTGCCACCCACATATACCCTGTCATTCCACCCCGACATGCTACACATGCCACCCCAACAACAAACACACCTTTTCACCCACCGTCCCACTAGCAAATATATACTGTCACTCACCACACACACTTGATTTAGGAAACCTTGCCTGGGGACACTCCCTGTCCTCGACCAGGCATGATGATGGCCTCTCACCACCCTGTGCTTCTCCTTCTGAGAACAGGTCACATTTACATCATTTATGTGATTTTCGCTCTCTCCCCCTCTCCCTCTGAAGGCAGGGATTCCATCCATCTCGTTTCTTCTACTTATGGAACCTCCTGACATGGATCATGAGCTCAGGCTCTCGGGGGGCCCAACACATGATGTGGACCGGTGGATAGGCAGGATGACTCAGACCATGACAACTGCTGCTCAGACCCAGTGGTGGAGGACAGTAAGACGAAGCAACTAACCAGGAGGATGGACACCTGTCTCTCAAGGGGAAGAACATCTCCAGGGATATTTCCTTATCTCAGAGCCATTACAACTATGAAGAGTGGGGACTCATTGTCAACAACATTTCTACAGTTCATGAGAAGCCAAAACTCTTGGCATCTGGCACTCTTGGTATAAATAAAAATATGTGTTTTTCATCCATCCATGCACATTCATGTCAGATATTTTCTACACAACTACCTTCCATTTAGTAAGTCTTTTTCCCCCACGTCTAATCTATTTAATCAGTCCACCTATTGTGTCCTAAATTGTAGTTACCTTTCATTTTTATTTTCTATTTGATTTTCTCTTATATATTCCAGTTCTCTGTTGAAATTCTGCAATGCTTCCTCTATTTTCTTTAACATAGTAATCATCATTATTTTAAAGCCGATGTCTGTGAATGATGATAACAGAAGAAAAAAGAATGAGGCAGAATGAATATTTGAAATTCAACAACTAAGAATTTTCAAGTAGTGATGAGAGACATAAAATGATACATTTAGGAAACTGGAAAAAAATAAAGGAAGAAACACCGCAGCCTCTCCCACAGTGAAACTCCTCATCACCAGAGAGAAACAGCAAAAAAAAAAAAAAAAAAA